GGTTGGAAATGTAAAGGTACACGTTTTGTAGCAAAAAGAGGGGAGTCTCTGACTTTGCAGTCCAGGAGTGGAGGTCCCTGGGACCATCAAGGGAGAAGATCAGAGTGCGGGACCCTACGGAGAGAAACAGTGATGTCAGAGATGGAGGCAGAGATGAAGATGTGGAGAGCTGGAGTGGCTGGGGACTCTAGACCCAGAGAGGGAGAGGGGCTGCGTGCTGACCACCAGGGGGCATGGTATACCCTTTGGTTGTTTGATGATGCATGGAGGGGATTGTAACTATGGCAATGTAATGAATGATATACGATAGGATGAATGTAAAGCTAATGTTCTCCCATGTAAACTATCACATAATTCACAATAAAACATTAAAAAAGAAATCCATGTCTGGATATATTATATAAAACTTCAGAAACTAAAAATATAGGGAAACCTTTTAAAGCACCCAGAGGAAAAAAAATAGAGTTCCCTCAGATGACAGTAACAACAAAAGTGAGAAAATAATGGGATAATATTTTTGATGTGTTGAAAGAAAATAACTAGAATTCGATAGCAAGAATGAAAAAAAACAGTATTCTGAAAGAATGAAAGTGGGGGAAAAAAAGGTATTTTTTAGACAAACAAACAAACAAACAAAACAATGATGAAGAGATTTAGGAAACAAACAACGACAGTTAAGCAGCTGGGCTTCTGAAAGGGATCAGACTCCAAGACTCCATGTTCTTCAGCCATCTACCTGCTCTCTACCAGCTGTCCAGGAGCACTACTTTACATATGTGGAGGACACTGGCCTTGGGCACGCTCCACATCTTCCAAATTTAGAACTAAAGGAGGACTACTTGTTTCCATCTTTCTAAGACAGATAGCAGACAAATGAAAACAGGGCCATCTATGGACTGAGGCCAAGGCACATTTAGTAAGAGAAATGCCCAAAGTAATTTGAACACTCAAACCATTTCTTTACAACGGACCTATACTAGAGGGCATATTGTTGTCGTTAGGTGCCGTGGAGTCTGTTCTGACTCATAGCAACACTATCCGCAACAGAAAGAAGTACTACCTGATCCTGAGGCATCCACACAGTGGTAGTTATGTTTGAGGCCATTGCTGCCATCATAGTGTCAGTCCATCTCATTGGAGATCTTCCTATTTTTCACTGATCCTCCATTATGGACACAATTGATCATATTAAGGCACAGGGAAAATTCCCTATTCTTATTCCCCTTTTTTTTTCATCCCAACCCTCCTGGTTGGTAAATAAAAAAAATCATGACATTAGGATGTCATGATTTGAATAGATCT